AGTCCTCCAATGAAATCCATGGAAATGTCCTCCCAAATCTGCTGCGGAACAGGTAGCGGCTGCAGCAACCCTGCGGGGGATAAGGCCTCTGTTTTGGCGTGCTGGCAGGTAGAGCAATAGGAGACATAATCCTTGATAGTCTTCTTCATCCCCTTCCAAAAGAAAGCCGCTGAAATCCGCTTGTAGGTACGCAAAAATCCTAAGTGGCCGCCTACCATCGAGTCATGATAATCGTGCAAGATGCGTGAGACCCAACTGGATGAGGGTGGTAACACCAATCGGCCACGAAAGAATAGGAGGTCCTGGTTGAGGGAGTAGCCTTCCGGGAGTGGTTGACCCTGGAGGGCTCGCTCTATGGTATCATTGCAGTCGGCGTTGGCGCGTTGCTCCTTGATGAGTTCCCTGGTGTTCAGCTGGTGATTGATAGACAGGGCAGAGAAAGTGAGAGGAGGGTCGTTTCCCCTTCGTGATAATGCATCTGCCACCTTGTTGGAAGCCCCTTGTTTATACTGTACTTCGAAGTCATACCCTAGTAGCTTGACTATTAGCCGGAGGTGCTATGGTGGCAGGACTCGTTGATCCAACAAGTGCCTCAAGCTTTGCTGGTCCGATCGAACTACAAAGTGCTTTCCCATGAGATAGTGGCGCCATTTCTGGACAGCGAGCACTATGGCGAGAAGTTCGCGCTCATACGGGCCAGCCGAGATGTGGCCGCCAATGCCTTATTAAAGTAAGCAATTGGTCTCCCGTCCTGGATAAGAACGGCCCCTACGCCTCCACTTGACGCATTCGTCTCAAAGACAAATGACTTCGTGAAATCCGGCATGGCGAGCACTGGCAGCTCTGTCATGACTTTCTTCAGTTGGAGGAAAGCCCCATCGGCCAAGTATGACCACCCAAACGTTCCCCTCTTGAGTAATTCGGTAAGGGGTCGTGCTATGGACCCGTACCCTTGCACAAAACGTCTGTAATAGCCGGTAAGGCCCAGGAATCCACGAAGTTCGCGAATGTTTCGTGGAGATGGCCAAGTCAACATTGCCTCGACTTTGGAAGGATCAGCCGAAACCCCTCTTGTGGAAATCACATGGCCCAGGTATTCTACCTGTTCCCGGCCAAAGGTACACTTTTTATAATTGGCAACCAACTTCTCTTGTTTTAACACTGCCAGCACTTGTCGCAGATGGTCATAGTGGGCCTCCCAAGATTGACTGTAAACAAGAATATCATAAAAAAAACCAAAACGAACTTACGGAGGTAAGGCCTAAATACTGAATTCATCAAAGACTGAAACGTGGCGGGAGCGTTGGTCAAACCAAACGACATGACGAAAAATTCGTAGTGGCCCTCGTGCATTCGGAATGCTGTTTTCTCGACATCCCTCTCCCTGACTCTGACCTGGTGGTAACCTGCGGTCAAGTCCAGCTTGGAAAATACCTTAGCTCCCTGTAACTCATCCAAAAGTTTGTCGATCACCGGAATTGGAAATTTGTCGGGCACCGTCAACTGATTTAGCGCCCGGTAGTCCACGCAGAACCTCCAACTGCCGTCCTTCTTTTTGACCAAAAGAACTAGGCTGGAATAAGGACAACAACTAGGTCTAATTATACCTGATATTAGCATGTCTGAGACCTGCCTCTCGATTTCCGCCTTCTGAATGTGAGGGTACCTGTACGGCCTCACGTTCGGAGGGGAAGCTCCGGCCTGCAGGTTGATTCCGTGCTCTCTGGCTCGTCGAGGGGGTAGACCCTTAGGTATGTCAAAGACCTCGGAGAACTCATGGATGAGCCTCTCGCAATTGGCGTCCATGGGGAGTGACACCGCGTCTGGTGTTCCAGCGTCCACCGAACAAAGCTCCAGCAGTACCCCCATCTCCCCTGGGCTCCACAAACGAGCCATAGCACGGAGACTTACCGGAGAACAGCTTAAGGAAGGGTCTTCAGTCCAACTAATCCACTTCCCCTCCCTCTGAAATTTCACGGTGAACTTTCCCCAGTCAGCCCGCACTTCCCCTAGTGTCTTGAGCCAAGTCACCCCCAACACTATGTCCGCACTCCCCAGTTCAAACGGAAAAAAATCCTCGATGACCCACTGCTCCTGGATGAGTACTCGTACCCCACGGCAAATTCCAATCTGCTGGAAACTCATCCCATTTCCCACCTGTATGTTGTGTCTGACTGATGACTCGGTGGGAATAGCAAGGTCATGTACCAGGCGGTTTGAAATGAAACTGTGAGACGCCCCGCTGTCCACTAGCACGGCGACTTCTCGGCCGCCGATCGTCCCTTGCAGTTTCATAGTCTTCGCAATCGTGAACCCTTGAATGGAGTTTAGCGACAAGGCGGCGGTCTCTTCTCCCACCTCCTCCTCTTCTTCCAGCGTTGCTTCCCCTTCCTCCAGGTGACCCTCCTCCCGTCCAAAGTCATCCTCGGCGGCAAGCAGTACCTGTAATTGTCGGAGTTTGCAACGGTGCCTTGGACTGAATTTTTCGTCGCACCAGTAACACAACCCCCGCGCGCGTTTCTGTTGGATCTCCTCGAAGGAAAGTCGCCGGAAAGCTGGGCCACCACTGGCCGTCGGGTGGGTCGGCCCCGTCGGAGGATCGCGGACCTTTGGCCCTGGGAAGGTCTCACGCGGTGTTTGGGATCGAAGTGAGCTCTCGGTGGAATCAAAATAATTAGAGTAGCTAATATAACCTGACTTACCTCCATAATCCGAATGGATGCCCCGACCCGCCCGAGCCCTCCGGATCCTATCCACCGCTTCTAGCCTGTCCTCCACCTGTTGAGCCAAGTTCATGGCTTCTACCAAATTCCTGGGTCGGTGCATTTTTACTTCCGCCCTTATATCATCCCTCAGACCATTCAAAAAAGCACTCCGAAAAACCTTCTCAGGAATTTCCAGTAGAGTCGCCGCCAGAGTCTCAAACTCCTCCCGGTACTCCGCTATTCGTCCTCCTTGCTAGATCGCCATCAGTTTCTCCGTCGGGTCTCTTTCGCGTGATCCGCTAAATCGGTGCAGGAGGGCCTCTCGCAAGTCCCACCAGTACACGAACGGTTCTTGTGCGTCCAGCCACTGGAACTAGGGCGGGCAATTCGTGTTCGCGTGTCGTGTTCGGGCCGGCACGACACGATTATAGTGAACATGAACACGACACGATTAATAAACGTGTCAGAAACTCAAACACGAACACGAAATGCTAATAACACGGTTAACACGACACGACACGACACGTGAACACGATTACTAGACGAGCCGTGACGGACCGACACGAAAAAAACACGTTTATGACCCGTTTATGACCCAACTAGCAAAAATAGTGAAATTTTATATTGTATTCAAAACTATATTAATTGACTACTTAATATAAAATCATGCATAATAGTCAACACATACTAAAATATCCAAATATCAAACACATATATATATGATACTACTAGATTATCAAGTATATATGTTTCAAAACATACCAATTACCAAACATCTAAAGAAGTTTGAAAACATAATCAATTACATTTAAATAAGTTTGAAAATATAACCAAACATTTGAATGTTTAAGGTGCATTAAACATAAAATAAATATAGGAAAATGTATTCTTTGAGCCTTGAGGTTGAATGCCCAACTATGCTCTAAAAACCAAAATTAGTTTCAAGAGACTGAGTCAGAAGTAAGGTTTTGTCTAATATATATATATATATGTATATATATATATATATATTGTCGGTTAGATAAAGTCTTTGTATTTGAATTTAAATAAAATAGAGGATAAATGGTTTATCATTAGAGATAAAGTTTCTTAGGTTAGAGTTTATCTTTAATTAGGATATTTTCTTTTAGGAAGATAAGGTTTCTTCCTTAGCCTATTTATTTTTATTTTTTACTATTCTGAAAATAATAGAAGTGAGTTTCTTTCTAGAAAATTTACATATATATATATATATATATATGGGCTTAATAAACGGGCCGGGCTGTGTCGGCCCGATAACGGCCCGTATAACTAAACGGGTTAAGCGTGTTAAACGGACTGGCACGAATCCAGCCAATTTATTTTCGTGTTATTCGTGTCAGCCCGTTAACAACCCAATTAATAATCGTGCAGTCCAAACCTATTTATCTCGTGTCGTTTTCGTATCGTTTCATCGTGTCGTGTCTAAAATTGCCGGCCCTAACTGGAACCATCCCAAAGCTTTGCCCTCCATACACACCGATGCCGCCAGTGCCATGTCACCCTTGTCTACGTCGTTTATGGTGAAATAACGTTCGGCCCTAAACACCCAGCCATGAGGATCCTCTCCGTGCAATAGCGGTAATTCCAATTTTTTTCCCCTGTGTTCTCCCCGTGCTCGAGGTCTCACCGGAGATCCGTAACGAGGAGGCACGGCTTTGCCTCAGACCGGTTCTCTCCGCAGGGGACTGAGCCTTCCCCGTGCTGGTCGCACCGGTTCCCTGCCCGGTGGGGTGTGACCGTCCCGTGCTCGCCTTGGAGGGGATGGCTCCTCCCCGTGTCGGTGTGGCGGTGGGGGTGGAGCACGCGCCTGCCTTACCAGAAACTCCTCCAACCTAGTGATCGTTCCTTGGATCCCTTCGATCTAGGTTCCCATTGTGGCCATATTTCCCTGCATCTCACCCATTTGCATCCCCAGGGATTCAACCTCCCATTGCAAGCTTGGCATCAGCTCCACGCTATCCCCAATCTCCTGTAAGGAATCCTGAAAGCTGTTCAACCGCCTCTCCACGGAGGCCATTCGGTCTGCCTGGTTCGCCATGGATCGTACGGCTCTGATACCAAATTGTTAGGATCCTCATGGTTCAGTAGGGGTTTTACAACCGAATGAAGGTTAATTAACCAGAAAAAGGGTCTGGTTCCTGTTATTGATATTGAGAAGTAAAGATTTCTGAGGAAAATAATTCTTATTTCCTTAGTATAGATTACAGAGAAGGCTCTCCTTAAATAGAAAGAGAAAAGGTACAAATATGGTAATTCTTTATTACCGTTTATTCTCCTAAAAAACCTACCAAAAATACTACAAAGCAATAAGGAAACAAACATAAAATTAGTAAACTGAATTGACACAAAATCCATGGGAATCATTCGGATATTCCCATGAAATCACACTGATTTTCCACACTCCCCTTCAAGCTGGTGAATATATGTTAATCATTCCCAGCTTGTCTACTAGAGCTTCAAAACTTTGTCTTGGTAATCCTTTGGTTAGGATGTCAGCAACTTGTTGAGTCGAAGGCACATAAGAGAGTTCTACTATTCCCTCGTCAATTTTCTCCTTAATGAAATGTCTATCAATCTCTATGTGCTTGGTATGATCATAGTGAACAGGATTCTGAGCTATGCACAAAGCCGCTTGATTGTCACAGTAGACCTTTAAAGGAGCCTTGTGTTCAACTTGCATTTCTTCCAAGACTCTTCTAATCCAAATTGTCTCCCAAATTCCATGTGCTAGTGCTCTGAACTCGACTTCTGCACTACTGCGAGCAACTACACTCTGCTTCTTACTCCTCCAAGTAACAAGATTTCCCCAGACCATAGTACAATAGCCAGAAGTTGACCGCCTGTCTTCAACTGAGCCTGCCCAATCAGCATCTGTAAAAGCTTCAATCTGCCTTTGATTAGTTTTCCCAAAAAACAGACCTTTTCCCGGTGTCATCTTGAGGTATCTCAGAATCCGATACACGGCAACTAGGTGTTCTTCATAGGGAGAATGCATATACTGACTTACAACACTTACTGCGAAAGCTATGTCGGGCCTGGTATGAGATAGATAGATTAGTCTCCCTACTAACCTTTGATATCTCCCCCTATCTACTGGATTTCCTAACTCCTTCTTTCCTTTTCCATTCACCTCCACAGGAGTCTCAGATGGTCTTCCACCAAGCATTCCAGTTTCCTTGAAGAGATCAATCGTATAATTTCTTTGAGAAATCAAAATACCTTTTCTTGTACGAGCAACTTCCATTCCCAAAAAGTATCTCTGCTGCCCCAAGTCTTTGACTTCAAATTTCCTAGCCAACACCTTTTTCAAGTCTGACAATTCTTCCAAGATTAACCCCTGTGAGGATAATGTCATCCACATATACTATCAAAATCGAGATCTTACCACCTGAGTGTTTGTAGAACAACGTGTGATCAGCCTGTCCCTGAGTGAAACCCACACTTCTGACAGTCTTAGTGAAGCGGTCAAACTAGGCTTGAGGAGATTGTTTAAGTCCATATAGTGACTTCAACAACCTGCACACCTTATCGCCTCCAAATTCTCTTTCAAACCCTGGCGGGGGATTCATATATACTCCTTCTTCGAGAGTCCCATTAAGAAATGCATTTTTTACATCCATCTGGTGTAGAGGCCAGTTAAGATTAGCTGCCAACGAGAGTAGTATCCTGATAGTGTTTAGTTTAGCAACCGGGGCAAAGGTCTCATTATTATCTACACCAAAGGTTTGTGTAAAGCCTTTAGCTACCAATCGTGCTTTATACCTTTTCACTGATCCATCTAAGTTGTATTTGATTGTGAAGACCCATTTACAACCCACTAGGCATTTTCCTTTGGGTAGGTCTACAATTGCACATGTACTATTCTTCTTCAAAGCTCCCATTTCCTCCATTACTGCCTTCCTCCACTGTGGCTTTTCAAGAGCATCATGTATACTTTCAGGAATCTCTTCAGCAGATATCTTTTCGGTTACAGCTCGGAAGGCAAGAGACAGATGTTTGAAGGACATAAGTTATAAAGTGGATGTTGGGTGCAGTTCCGAGTGCCTTTCCGAAGTGCAATAGGCACATCAAGATCACCAGCTGGTAGTTTTTCTTCTACTGTCTGAGCCTCCTCTTCTTTGGATTCTTCAGCAACAACACCTGCGTCATTCATTTGTGTGTTTACCTCCGGTTCAGGCTCTTGGCAGTGCTCCGGAGTTGTAATAGGCTTGTGTTGCTTTCGAGGTTGTCCAGCCCGCCTAGAATAAACACGAAGTTCTTGTGGTTCTTTTTGTGTGCTGCTTTGCACATGTGATTCTCCCCCTGTTTCCAGATCATTAGACAACATAATAGGTAACACAAGACTCTTAGAAGATGAACCAGGAGACTCTGACTCTAACTGAATGGGAACTACTGACTTTGTTTCCGATTGAGCGGAGAAATCCAAAAGCTGCCCTGTATGTCTCACATTCTCCCCTTGAAGGGCAGATTTGTAGTAAGCTTGATTTTCAAAGAATGAGACATCTATGGATACGTACACCTTTTTCGTGACAGGACAGTAGCATTTGAAACCTTTCTGACTTGGAGAGTAACCTGAAAAAATACACTTAATAGCTCTAGGATTAAGTTTGCTTAGTTGAGGTGAATTCGAGTGTACAAATGCAGTACATCTGAATGTTTTAAGAGGTAGATCATGAAGTAGACGAATTTGGGGATAAGACTTACTAAGAGTAGACAATGGTGTTTGGTACTGGAGTACTCGAGAAGAAAGACGGTTAATCAGATAACATGATGTAAGAACTGCTTCACCCCAAAAACACTTAGGAACATGGTTTTCAAACAAGAGTGCACGAGCTGTTTCGAGTAAATGCCTGTTTTTACGTTCAGCAACACCATTTTGTTGAGGAGTATCAACACGTGAACTTTGGTGGAATATTCCATTTTCTGCTAGATATAGACCTAAAGTATTATTAAAATACTCTTGGCCATTATCTGTACGAAGAATCTGAATTTTTGTCTGAAATTGTGTTTCCACCATTTTATGGAAATTTTGAAAAATACTGGCAGCATTGGATTTTTCTTTTAAGAGAA